AGGGAGCAAAACTGAAGAGAGGATAGGGACAAGCTATGTCAGAGATTGGGAGGTTCTGGAGTTCATCTGCAGGGCTGGAGATGGCCGCACTGAGAAGGGGATGTTTGAGTAAACCCTGCAGGAGGAGAGGGGTGAGCTGTGTGGACTTCTATATGGGAAGTATCTTCTAGGCCCGGGGTGCAGAACATCTGGCCCGGGGACCGTATAAGGCCCACAAAAATCTTTTGGTCTGGCCCTGCCAAGGCATTAGGGATGAGTTAATTAAATGTTTTGACCAAATATAGCAGGCTAATTTTTAAGTTGATAATTTTGTATGGCTTTCAAATGATGTTATAAATATCTGATGTCCCTTGGCAGAAAAAAAAGGTTCCCCACCCCTATTCTAGGCAGAAGGAACAGCAAGTGCAAAAGTCCTGAGGCAAGTATATGCTTGGCATGTGTGAGGAGCAGCAAAGAGGCCTGTGTGGCTGGAGTGCAGTGAGTGAGGAGGGAGTAGTAGGAGCTGAGGCCAGAGAAGTGATGGGGCAGACCCTGTCCAGCATTATAAGGATGGTGGTTTGCTCTCAGGGAGGTGGGAGACACGGAGAGTTTCGAAGGACATTATCTGGGTCCCTTCTGCAGTTGTGGGGACCGAGGGGGTTCTTCTCCATGGACAGTGTGATCAGGATGGAATCAAACCTCACCAGGTAGTCATGGAGCAGAGAGAAGAGGAGGGCACTTCTAGCAGAGGGAACAGTGTGAGCCAAGGTGCAGAGGCAAGAGCCTGTGGCAAAGAGGTACAGGAGCGGGGCGGGGGGGCGGGGGCTACCAGGAGTCCTCTGACTCTTACAAGAAGAACAGTAACTACTGTTGTGAGATATTTTGGGCTCCAGGCTGAAGGTATGCAGGGCCCTGAGAGGGATTTACAGAAGACCAATTAGTGTGCTAGGGCTCACGTTGGCCTCAGGTGGCAGGTTTAGGGACGAGACGTCAGTTTGGCTGCAAGTAATGGAAACCTCCCTAAACATTACTTATTCTGTCATATGCTGGTGGTTGCAGGCAGCCAGGCCAAAACTGACAGAACGAGTGGCTCTGTGGTCTTCAGGGACACAGGCTTGTTCGGTCTTGTTGCCCAGCCAACTGGAATATGCTGCCTCCTGGTCCAGAATGGCTGCTTGAGCTCCAGGCAGCAGGCTGGAAGGATGGGGAAAGAGCCCCTCTTTAAATTATTTTTCATTGTGCCAAATACACAGAATGTAAAATTGACCATCTTAATTACTTTTTGGTGTATAGTTCAGTGGCATTAAATACACTCACAGTATTGTACAACCATCACCACCATCCATCTCCAGAATTCTTTCATATTCCCAAACTGAAACTCTGTCCTGTGTAACACTCACCCCCATACCCTTTCCCTCCAGCCCCTGCAACCACGCTTCTACTTTCTGTCTCTATGACTGACTACTCTAGGGACCTCATATGTATGGAATCACAGTCTTTGTCCTGTGTGATTGGCTTATTTCACTGAGCACAGTGTCCTCCAGGTTCACTTATGGTGTTGCAGGTGTCAGGATGTCTTTTCTTTTGGAGTTGAATACTATTCCATTACATGTATAGAGCACATTTTGTTCATCCATTCATCTTTTGATGGACATTGGGTTGTTTCTACCTCTTGGCTGTGTGACCAATGCTGCTGTGGACACAGGTGTGAGAAGAGCCCCTCCTTTGAGGACAGACAGTACTTCCACTAACAGCACATTAGCTAGAACTTAGGCCAGTGGTCACACCTAGCTGAAGGGTGGCTGAGAAATGTAGTCTTTATTCTGGAGAGATCGCATGCTCCACTGAAAATTGGGAAAAAGGGAAAGCAGACACTGGGGGCCAACACCTGGCTGGTTGTGCAGCAGAGGACGGGGCAGACTAGGGCAGTGGACAGTGTCAGGAGCGTCACCAAAAGGGATGTTTAGGAGAGAGTGTAAGGAGTTGAAGAGGGGTCACAAGCTTGGATGAATAATAGGGACATTTGGAGGAGGGTGACATTTGGGAATTGATTTGGACTTTAATTTTTATCATGGTGGGTTGATTTTTCCTAAAAACAATTGATATTAGGGAAAGGACTTTGGTGACAGGAAAGTTTTGAATCCCATTTTTGTCTGTATGTTTGACCCTGAACCAGCCTTTTTTGAGCCTCAGCTTGTCCATCTACAAAATGGGGATAATAATGTATGTCTTATGGGGTGGTTGTGAGCATCAGAGGTAAGACAAACTGAGTATTTATTAAGTACATGGTGGGTCTTGACTAAGTGGAAGTGGCCACTATTGGGTGATGCAGGTCTGGAGTACCAGCTATTGCTGTGTAACAAACAGTCCTGAACCAAGTGATTCATGACTGGCTCATCTCATGAGGTAGTTTTGCTCAGCTGATCTTAGCTGAGCTCACTTATGTGTCTGCTGCCACCTGATGGCTCTACTGGCACTTTATGATTTAGGATGGCTGCAGCTGGGATGACTTTTCCCTACTCTATGTGGTCTCACAACTTGTAGCAGACTAGCCTTGGCTTGTTCAGTTAGTGGCGGCCAGGGTTCCAACACAGGGAATAGAAGTGTGCAAGGCCTTTTGAGGCAGAAGCTCAAAACTGGTATATTGTAACTTCTATCTCATCGTATTGGCCAAAGCAAGTCGTGAGGTGCAACCAAGAGGTTAGAAAATAGTCTCCCTTTTGATCGGAGGAACTGCACTATCACATTGCAAGACAATGGACACAGGGAAGAGGACACAATTGGGACTATCAGTCAACCACAGTAGTTTAAACAATTGAAGATTTTTTTAGAGGTGAGCAGTCCGGGACAGGGGTGTAGCTACACAGTGTCTTCAGGAACTCTGGCTTCTATTTTTCTACTCAGTCATCTTTAGCTTTCCCTTCCATCTCGACAGTCACTTCATGTCCCAAGATGGTTGTTAGAACTCCAGCCACCATATTTGTTCCAAAAAGGAGGAAGGGGCATGTGAAAAGGATGGGCTTTCAAGTTGAGTCAGCCCCAGTTCAAGCTTTCCTGAAAGCGCTACCCAGTGGTCTCCTAGAATCAGTTGCTAGCAAAAACAGGGTGGGAGGAGTGGATGTGACGGGCTAATTTGCAGTTCTTTTCATAGAGGCCATTGATTAATTATTTCAAAAGACTTGCATTAGCCCTACTCTGAGCCAGACATGGGGAATGGAGAGCACATACTGGACCGAAGAAACAAGACAAGCTTAGTTCACTCTCATTTTTTAGCTCCTCTGCTGAGCCTGACCCAGGATGCTTCCCGGGGGCTCTCAGTGAGCCTCATAGGGGCTCAGAGACCCAGGGTAAGGCAGGTGGGCTCTGGGGGCCAGGCTGTAGCAGTAACTGCATGTCTCCCTCCAGCAATGCTGTGACTGCTGTGGCCTGGGGCTCCGTGTGCGGGCTGAGGGCCAGTCATGCGAGTCCAACCCCAACCTGGGCTACCCCTGCAACCACGTCATGCTTTCCTGCTGTGAGGGTGAAGACCCCCTTATCGTGCCTGAGGTCCGCCAGGCTCCGGAGCCTGAGTCTGCACCACAGAGAGGTGGGTGTTGCCTCACCCTGAGCCAGGGTCTATAGGATGGTTGGGTGAGGGGGAGAGAGCTTTTGGGGCTTCTAGCCAAGGCTGGGTGACCCTGGCCTTCTGTGGAGACTCTGGGTCCACGGCCATTGTAGCGTGGAACCACATAGTTCCTCAGTGGCTGCTAAGAATGGACTGAGGCCTGTCATTTCCAAGATGGTGATTTCATTCAGTTTTCCAAGTACCAATCACTTCACCCACTGAACTACCAACTACCTACTACCTATCACCTTCCATTCTCATCCACGCTTTTATCCATCCATCATCTCACCTATCTCCCACCCATTCTCTGGTCTATTTCACCATCCATATCTCCACCCACTATACCATTCATCTACCATCCCTCATCTATCCATTCTCACATCCACTCATCCATCCATTCATCTCCCCCACCCATCTGCTTACCTGTTTGTCTACCCATGCACTCACACATTCATTTACTTATCCACCTGTTCACCTACCCATCTGTCTGTCCATCCACCCATCCGTCTGTCTGTCCATGGGTCTTTCCATCCGTCTTATTCGTCTATCTGTCCGTCCATCTGCTCATGTATTCACCACCCCCAAATCTTTCACGTATCCATCATTCACTTACCTTTGTTCATCCATCCTCCATTCCTCTCACCTATGCCATTCTTGTGTCCTCAGGGAACAGGGTATAATTGGTATGGAGAATGCATTTATAAATGTTGCCCCACCTGCCTGGTCAGCCCCTTCAGGCTAGCACTATCTTTTATGTCTATATTCTCAGTGCCTGGCCCTGTGCTTGTCCCAGAAGAGTCACTAGCAAATGACTAAATGAATGATGGGTTTGTTTGGCAGCCCCCCCTTCACCACCAGACCATGAATTCTCTGAGGGCTGATCAGACCTGTGCCCTTACCCTCTCTATCCTTACCTGGCACTGGTCCCCAGAAGCCATAGGGGGACCAGTGTGTGTGTGGGGGGGGGGGAGGGAGCTCTAGGTACCAGTGTGGGCCCTGGAGCCTGCGTTTGCTCCTGCCTGAGGGTCAAGAGCCAGGTCATAGAGCTTCCAGTCCTCAGCGTCCCTGGGGTCTCCTCCCTCATGTGCCCTCCATGTGCTGTGATCATTGTTTCAGCTGCCAGGTTCAGCCTCTGTCACCCTATCTAAGATTATCTCCTAGACTCAGGGCCATTAGCCTTCTTTGTGCCTCTGGGACAGCAGGAGCCCAATCAAGGTGTGCCAGTGAATCAGCAGGTGTTCTTTGTGGAGCTGGGCCTGCAGCCCTGGGTGGCCACTTCTGCAGATGTTCATACATTCTGCCTTGACCAGCCAGGGACCAGGTGCCCAGGAAGGTTCCAGAAGCACTGGCCTAGCCTTTTCTGCAGCTGTGTGGACCATCTGGGGCACCTGTGGGTCCGTCCTGGGCACTTCAAGGATTGGGAATGAAAATCCCAGAGGTGGCCCTAGCATCAAGGTTAACGTGTGGCCCTTGGAGTCCAGCAGACTGGTTGGAATCCCAGCTCCACTGTTCTCCTCAGCAAGTCATGGGCCTTCTTGGAAACTTTGTCAGACACAGATTCTGCTCTCCACCTCACTCCCTGTGGGGAGGGATGGCAGGATGCTCATCAAGGGCTTGTGGTTCCTTACCCTGTTACTGTCACCATGTTTTCATAGTCCAGATGAGGAAGCCTCACTTCGCCCTTGTGCAAATCAGGTCCTTGGCATAGTTGGGACTACCAGTAGACTCCTGTTTTTGACCTGGACTCTGGTGTACTGGATTTGACCAGACCCAGTCATCCCTGGGTCTCTGTCTTGATAATGCAAGACAGTGGAAATCTGGGCATGGGAATTAGATGCCTGCTGTCCATGGGAATAAGATGCCTGCTGTCCAAAGTCAGGGGTTCCTGGGAGAAGACCTTGTATCCTGTGGGTACAAAGTTTGCTGGATGTGATGGTGGGCCCAACAGAAACCTGGGTCTCCCAGCAGGGTGGGGCAGTGGCAAGCATATAGAGGATGGACCAGGCCAGGGGAAGCTGACAGGACAGAAGGACTGGCCAGCCTCACCAGCCAGCATGGGCACAAAGGCTGGCCAGTCCAAGGAAGTGCCACATGATGAGGTTAGATCTAGGGGCTGCTTGAGCATGGGTGTAAAGGCCAGGGTAGCAACCATAAGTCTGATTCAAGGTAAAATTTGGGAGGAAGTCCAGCTTCAGGGGTCAGAGGGTAGACACGGGGCCAAGAAGGGTCCAGAGCCAGAGGTTCGTGTTTCTCTCCTTCAGTGACTAACTGGTGGGTAACCTGGGCCTCAGAGGACACAACTGGCAGGTCAGATCAACCTGGTTGCCAGTCCTGCTCAGGTGACCTTGTGGAAATCAGTATGCACCTCCAAGCTTCAGCATCACTGCTGCTGGGAGGATTATTGTGAGAAATGTGCTGAGGAAGCAGGCTGAGCATGAACCCTGAAGCATGGCCAACAGCTTGCCCAGCAGAGCTGGGCACAGGGTCATAGGGCTGGAACATCAGCCATCACGACCCGCCTGTAGGTGCCAGGCCTGGCCTGATTGGGCCGGAGCTTAATGTAAATGCCTTCAATATGAAACATGTTCTTCAGATGTGAGCATATGCAGTTGCTCCCTTGAGGGGCTTGGTGGCCTGGTGCTGGCAGACAGAGTTGGGGCCCCAGGCTGACATGGAGCGTGGAGGGGTTTCTGGCCTCTCCCTTTTCCATGACTGTATATCAAGAGCTTTCTAAGGCAGCTCGGCCCTAGAAACCTTCTCTCCCACTCTCACCGGCTCCCCAACGCAGCCTGGAAGGCATGGAGAGACCTAGTGCTATTCAACGTGACACAGCTGGGAAAGCCCGAGTGATGGTTCAGATCTTAATCTGATGGAATCCAGGTTTGGGGCCCTTTCTGTTGCTAGGTGTTGTCCTCCCTGATGTCCCTAAGGTCAGAGGTCTGAATCCTGTTTATCACTTTAGCCAAAGCTTCCTGAGGGCTTTTGTGGACCTGGCTCTGATGGGTTCACTCTTATTGCTGAGGTTTGTCCACCCACCCATCCTTCATCCATCCATCCACCCATCTTTCATCCATGCACATTGCCTCAACTGGGCACGCAGAGTTCTGATGAGGACCTGCGCTGATTTTTGGGGAGCCTGAAGTCTCAGCCTCCTGCTGGGGCCAACCCAGCTCCCATCATGAGCACTGACTCCTGCCCAGTTTCAGAGGTGCAGTTGGGGAGCCGGGAGGCCCTGTCACTGGGCATGGAGACTGAGCTGCCCAATAGCCTGCCCGGTGATGACCAGGATGAGTGCCTGCTCCTCCCGGGGGAGCTTTGCCAGCACCTCTGCATCAACACTGTGGGCTCTTACCACTGTGCCTGCTTTCCCGGCTTTTCACTGCAGGATGACGGCCGTACCTGCCGCCCAGGTAAGTACCTGGATAGTCCGGGGCCAGGGCCGGGGCTGGTCTTGCCAGGCATTGTGGCATTCCAGCAGTGGGGACCACGGGGTACTTCTCCCGCCACCCCACATATTGGAACCTGCAGGATCTGGGGGCCTCTGGCAGTGGGCTTTGTGAGGCCAGTCAGATAGGCTCCTCTCCAGAACTGTCTGCAGGGTACACCCCAGTGCCCTGCTCTGGGTTCGGGTGCAGAGCTAGGACCCAAGCCACAGAGACTTCCATCAACCTAATCTGTGTCCCCATTGTGGGGCCCATGGTGGTTAAGCCCCAATAGGCAGCCCAGAAGGTTGCCACCGCCCCGGTCTGGGAGGACTTTCTCTCTGCCAGCTTCCAGGGATAGATTTGTCAGTCTAGAAATGCACTCCTCTTCTTCCTTGCCTCCTCTGTCCTAAATATCATACCTAAAGTGAGATTGCTACCTAATGTACATTGCTCCTTGAGCCTCAGTTTTCTCTCCTGTGAAATGGGTGGGGGAGGATTTAAATGAGGCAATTCCTGTCAAGTGCTGGCATGGGGCCTGTTAGAGCCTGTGTCCTGGCTGAAGATGTGAGACAGACCTTCCCTCCTATCTGCTCTGCCTGGGACAGACAATGGCCCCTCACAGCCAGCGGCTGCAGAGGAGTCTGCACTGAGGTCAGAACCCTCTCAAGCGGCCCCCAACACCATCCTGCTACCACGGCCACAACCCAACACCTGCAAAGGTAAATTGTGTCTGGGGGTGGGTCTGGCCATGTGCAAGATGGGGTGCTTCTGCTTGGTGGGTTGGTTGGTCTTGCCTATCAGAACTCAGTGTAGTTGAGAAGATGAGAGTTGTGGGGAGGGTCAGCCGGAGTGAGAGGATATGGAAATAGAGGACAGCCTGGGCGATTATAAGTGACCCCAAGCAAGTCATTTAGCTACTTTTTTGGTCTTAGTTGCTGTGAAATTGAGAGGATACGTTCTTGCTTGTGGACCTGTTGTGCAGATAATAATGTGTAAAAGCTCTTTTTTCTGCTCCTCTCTTTCTTGGTCCTGCTCTCTGCATCTGCTCTGTATTCTCTTTCTGTCTCCTCCTCAATCCCATCCCTGTTTCTTGAGGGAAGCTTTGGTGTCTGAGTGGTGGTGGTGGTGGCAGGACATCTAGTCCATTATCTCAGACACAAGCTGAGGTATGAGCCAATTTAACAGTGAACTTGGAAAAGGGGGCAGGAGTGAGGCTCCTTGGCTCCCAGTCCCTACGCCTGTAGGTTAGAGTTAGAAGTGATGAGCCTGCTCTGATTTCTGTGCATTTCCTCTCAGACAATGGGCCTTGCAAGCAGGTGTGCAGCATTATTGGAGACACAGCCATGTGCTCCTGCTTTCCCGGCTATGCCATCATGGCGGATGGTGTGTCCTGTGAAGGTGAGTACCATGCAACCTGAGTTTCCTGTGGTCAGGGCCCCAGGGTGGAGATCGGACAAACAGAATGAGGGAGGTGGTCCGGATCTAAAACTTGGAGGGTTAGTGAGGGAACAGGTTTGGCTGCGTTGATGAAGAGCCCCAAATAGCTTACCCAGAGATTCCTCACATGTCGCCATGCACAGGTGTTCGTGCAGGCTGGGGTGGACACACAGATTGGCCAGGACCCCACACCTCTTTTGTCATGTCTGCTGCTCTCTAGAGCAGTGCTTCCCACCCTTGAGCCAGCTGGAAGCCTGGCGACAGATGGACCCTGAGAGTTCTGTAGAATCCCCAAGAGCTTCACCAGTAGGTCTGGAGTGGGGCCTGAGAATTTGTATTTATCACCAGGTCCCTGGACCACACTCCAACTGCCCTATCCTTGAAGGTTGCCTGTCTGCATGACCAAAGTCTATTCTGACCACATTGTCCCTGTTCCAGCCATGGGTGGAGAGAGGGAGTGCACATCCAATTACTGTAGGACAGGACCTGGAAGTGGTATTCACCCCTCCCATTTGCCTCTGATAGGGGGCAAGACTAGGGAGTAAGAGTCCCAAATGGATGGCGCGTACTCAGTTCTGTTACTGAAAGCAAGGAGGGGACAGTGGATGTTGGTGACAGTTAGCTACCTCTGCCATGAACAAAGGGGTTGAAGAGGTTCCAAAAGCATGTCTCTTTCATGCCTTTGACCATGCTGGTCTGGATCTTGTCTCAGTGGGGCCTCTGTCAGCCGGCCCTCCTCCTGTGAGATGGGGCATTGGGCCCAACACCTGCTGGGTGGTTTCCACCGTGAATGGTGCCTTGGGAACAACCTGAGAGGCCTCAAGACTGCACCTCTTCATGTCAGGACAGACATGGATCAGGCACATGGTCTAACATACACTTCAGTTCAGGTTCAAGTTCAGGAGAGGTGTCGGGGTGGGTTTCGGGGGTACCAGGATTAAGTCTGTCCAGGAAAATGCCCACATCCCTGCCAGAAGTGGAAACCCATATCTAGGCCCTCGGCTGAGACAGTTTTCTGATGTGTATGAAAACCATCCAGTGCCCAGAGAGGACAGGAGACATGCCCAGGGCACACAGCATGGTGATGACTGGCAAGCCTTGATCTCAGGTGGTAGGGTCAGATCTCAGGTGCCCTCTGGGCTTTGTTCCCCATCTCTTGGGGTCTTGAAGCCAGGATGTATCTCTCCTGGGCTAGGATTCCCTTGAGTCTGGCCAGGCTGCAGGCCAGTGTCTGCGTCTCTCCAGATCTCCCTCCTCTGCAGAGTCCCTGGCAGTAAAGGCTGTGGGTTCCAGGCCAGAGGTTGCAGACAGGCATTCTGAGGGTGCAGCTTTAGCCAGCAGGGGAGTCCTGCTGGGCTCTATCCTATTTAAAATAATCAAATGAGTTCCCAACCATGAAAACCTCAAGAATTTTTTAAAATGTCCAGATTTCCGTTTTCTCTTGAAACTTTGTAAAAACTGCCTACTAGGGGCCCACAGCTCGGTCCCTCTGAAAAGAGCACAGGCCCCGCAGTGCCTGCAGAGCCTCCTCTGGCTCCTCCTCCCATTATGTTGCCAGCCTGGCCTCCGAGCACTTGAGTTTGCAGCCCCTGCTTGTGTGGCCCCCAGGCTGCCTGTGGAGGTGAGCACCTCCAGGATGTGGGGGCAGACAAACTGCATCTGCCCACTTCGACAGTTGGCAGGCAGGCTGCTTACCCTCTCTGACCCTGACCTTGCCACCTGTCCTTACTGGGATTCCAGCTTTGACTGTACAAACTCAGACTTGGGCCCAAAGCCCAGAGCCGTGGTCGGCAAACTGTGGCTCGCGAGCCACATGCAGCTCTTTGGCCCCTTGAGTGTGGCTCTTCCTAAGCCTTAGGAGTAGCCTAATTAAGTTAATAGCAATGTACCTACCTATATAGTTTAAGTTTAAAAAATTTGGCTCTCAAAAGAAATTTCAATCGTTGTACTGTTGATATTTGGCTCTGTTGACTAATGAGTTTGCCAACCACTGGCCCAGAGGTACCACTGACGGGCTTGGAGGTCCCCAGCTGTGCCGCCCCTCTCTAGGCCTCAGTTTCCCCGTCTGTGACTGGATGCTCCGTGACAGGCTATGCCCTCTAATGGCCCTTCTGTTTTTCCTTCTGCGGCTGTCACTAGACCGAGACGAGTGCCTGCTGGGTGCTCACGATTGTAGCCGGCGACAGTTCTGTGTGAACACCCTGGGATCCTTCTACTGTGTCAACCACACAGTGCTCTGTGCCCAGGGCTTTATCCTCAACGTGCACAGGAAGTGCGTGGGTAAGCGAGAGCCCCTGCTGCCGCTCTGCGCCACCAAGCCCATCACACGCTCCAGGGCCTGCCCTCTGCACTTGAGCTCTCAGCACAGCTGGCTCCCCATGTCATGTCCTGCGTGTCCTGGTGTCCTGTCCTGTTTCTCCACCGACGCCCCTGGGAGGCTGCTTTCCTTAAGGACCTGCCTGAGAGTCAGAAAACTCTAATTGATGTATGACTTGGCTGGATCACTGGAACAAGGAGGTCAGACCTGTGGGCAGCAGGAGAGAGTGTGTGAAGCCTGGAGGCAGAGGCCTGGGTGTGAAGCAGGACCCTCTGGTATCCCTCTGGCCTTGGATAAATGACTTCCATTTTCCAAGCCTCACTTGGTTCATCTCTAAAAAGAAGGCACTGAGGGCCCCGATCCTCCTCAGAGGTTATATTACCTGTGTGTGTGGTGCAGCGGAGGCTGGGCATAGTGACCACGTGATGGCAGCTGCTGAGATTGCCCTTAGATGTATCCAGACTCCCCTCCAGAGATGAATGGATGAAGCTGGATCTGAAAGACCAGCTTTGCACCCCAGCTTAGTGTTCCTTTGCTGTGTTACCATGAGCCGTGGGGCTCTCCTCTGAGACTGTTTCCTTCCCTCTAACCTCAGAGCTTGGAGGACTGGGCAGGGCTGGTGCCCCGTTCCTGGTCTGCACATGGTGCTTGGTAACAGCCTGTCCTACCTGCCTCGCAGTGCCTGTGTAGCTGAGCGCTGGGGCTCCCAGTGTACTCTGTGGCCAGCGAGGTGGGTGGACTTGATGCTGACCCGTATCTGGAGGAAACGTCATAGACCCGAAGTCACAGGGACTGGGACAGACTGGGATGTGCTATGGAAGAGACAGGCCAAGGGAGAGGCCATCCTAGCTGTGGGTCTGCACATGCCTCCTGTTTGTACCTGCCTCCAAGGATGGCTAGGACTTGCTGGTGGAAGGAACAACTCACACAAAGGTGTGGTGGTAGGAACAGTGCAGGTGCGATCAGGGCACATGTCCAGAGCCCAGTCCATCGTCTGTGTGTTTTGGGACCATGTCCAGGCTGAACATGTCTGTTCCCTCGCACCTCTGCTGCTGGACTGATAGGCCGTGGTGCTGGGCTGTGCAGCCATTGCAGACATGTTTGCCCTGGCCTCCAGCCATTGGCACAACATGTGCCCTCCATGTGCTTGCCAGCGGTTGGGCAGTTCTTCCTGTCTGGGCTGTGTGTGTATGTGTGTGTGTGTGTGTGTGTGTGTGTGTGTGTGTGTGTGTGTCTGGGAAGGCGGGTCCCAAGCCTGCCAGCACCCCTCCCAGGATGCCTGCCTGCTTGCCATGGCGAGGGGTACAGCTCCGCTGGTGGCCTGGAGAAGACACCATGTGCTGAAAGAGTTCCTGGGCAGCCAGAAAGCAGGCTCTGGGATTAAAGGAGCAAAGGTTCATTTCATTTATCAAGTTTATGAGTGCACATTTTCACTCATCTCTTCTCTCCTTACTCATCCTGCACAGACTTTTCAGGGTCTCTTCTTTGTCCTCCTCATCCACTCACATGCTCATCTTATCTGTTACAATCATTCTTTCCATCATTCTTCATCCACAAATGTGTACTTGTATCTTCTGCAGTTCACTTGTTAGCTCCAGGCATGTTTGTTAGCCCAAGCTGGGAGATGGGAAACTGGTGCCCAGATGAAGTGTGTCTGCTGCAGCCAGACTGCCTGGGTTCAAACCCTGGCTCTGCCACTTTCCAGTTATAAGACCTTAGACATGTCATTTAACCTCTCTGAGCCTCAGTTTTCTCACCTGTGAAATGAGATAGTAATAGCACCCACCTCAAAGGGTCACTGGGAGATTAAATGTATAGAATTTACAAGTGTTTGATGTCATTATTGTGATTCAGCACCTGTGTTATACTGAGGCAGCCTGCTCAGGTAGTGAGTTTTCCATCACCAGAGGTAAAGTAGGACAGTGTTGGGTGGTGCCAAGTCCAGAGGCCCTCTAATGGACATGTGACCTCTGTGAGCACTCCCCTGTGCCTTGCTGTTTGCCTTTTGTGCCTTGCCCTTTAAGAACGGTCTGGACTCCTGGGAAAAGTGTCCAAGGTGGGCTGGGCTTTGAGAAGATGGGAGGGGAGCAGTCGCCAGCTCTGGGGCCTAGCCCACAGCAGGAGAAAGGGCACAGTTGTGGGCTGGGCCCTCAGGGATCTGTTCTTGCCGCTGCCCGCTGCTCGTGCAGGCTGTGTGGCTTTGGTCCAGCCACACCCCCTCTGGGAGACCTGTGGCAGAATGGCAGCTCCTGTGCACTGCCTGATGCCGGCAAGCCTCAGTCAGTGGTGTCTGCTGCTGTTCACACCATGATTCCTCCCAGGATCTTGGCTCCTGTCTTGGCTCCTGGGCTCCGGTGTCTCTAGGGTCCTGGGAATATGTCTCCCTTTGTTAATCCAGCCTGCAAATCAGAAGCTCTTATTTTGCCAACCAAGCCTTCCTTGGAAGCCACTGACCCAGAACTCTCTCTTTTCCTACCCCATCCCCATCCAAACCAGGGTTGGCCTGGCCTTAACCATTTGTTTCACCTGTGAGTTTGGGAGAGTCTCTTTGCCCACAGCCTTGCCTCCTCCTCTCCACCTGGTCCCATCATCCTTGTGGACTCAGCTCAGATGTTGCTCCTCCTGAGCAGAGACTTACAGTTTGGCCCCGAGTAGATGGTGCTCTGTCCTGGGTCTGGAGACAGCTTTCCTCCCGAGTCACCACCCTGCCTTTCCTGTCTGCCCTGCCAGGCTGACAGTTCCTTGAAGGCAGGGGCTGTGGTGACACTCCCACTTGACCTCCTGGACCTAGCATTGCAGAACAGGCACTAGTGAATGTGTGTCCAGGAATGACAATCAGTGAGTGACTGCCCCCACCAGGCACAGCTTGCAGGCCGGCATTGCCATGTGTCCGTGTGTCCTCGCACCAGACCTGCGGTGATGCCAGAGTTGGGAACTCTCCACAGGCCCTCGCCCTCGCCCTCGTTGCTGCTGCTTCTCTCTCCCTTCCCCACTGCTCATCTGGGAGTCAGTCCTTGGCCTCTTCCTTCTGTGCCCTGTCCCCCAGATGAGCCCAGCAGCTGCCTGCTCTCAGATTAGTGCCTTTATGTAGACCCCTTCAGTGAACTCAGAGGTGTGTCTCCAGCTGCCTCTTGACTCAAATTCACTGTGGCCACAGGGCTCCCGACCTTCCCCCGTGAGCCTGCTTCTCCTGCCACCCTGTCCCAGCTGCTAGTGTTCACCTGTCACCTGCTTGACCAGGAAGCTGTGCAGACCTCTTGGCTCCTCTTTTTCTCTCACCTTATCTCAGGTACTGGTGGATCCTGTCGGTCCCATCTTCACTATATTTTTCAGAACCAACTGCTTTTCCTTGCCTCCATGGATGGCAGTCCAGCATCTCCTAACAGCTTCCATTTTCGTCCTTGGAGTATTCACATCCAGCCAGCTCCTACCCCCTTCCATATCCCCTAACACAGTTCTCTACCCTGCAGGACACCCCTCCTGGCTGGCCCTTGGGCCTGCCTAGCAGGCCTCTTCAGGGCCCTGGCATTGGCTGTCCCCTCTACCTAGAATATTTGCTGGCCTCATTCTGTCATTTCTTCAAATGCTTGCTCTAATATCCTCTTCTTTGAGGACCCTCCCCTGACCTCCTACTTAATGTGGTGTGTGCCCACCTGCCCTCAGCACTCCTCCCCTCCTTCACCCACAGTGCTCATGACTGCCCTTCCTATTACACGTCTGCTTACTCAGCCATTGGGCCTCCACTTTTTGAGTGTCCCCAGGATGGCCGGTTCGTCTGTCTTGTTCACCATGAAATGAACCCCTGGTGCCAAGAACAGTGCTTGTTGGCACATGGCAGGTACTCAGTATATCTCTGTCCAATGAATGGATGCCTAGACAGGTGGATGTCAGCACTGTACTACTCTGGGTAGTGAGCACCCTGAGGGCAGTGCTGGCTGCGCTCAGCCACCACCTAGGAAGCACCCTGTATGCAGCCTCTGATGGTATCACTCTTCCTGCAGACATCAACGAGTGTGTGACGGACTTGCACACGTGCAGCCGGGGCGAGCACTGCGTGAACACAGTAGGCTCCTTCCGCTGCTACAAGGCTCTCACTTGCCAGCCGGGCTACACTCTTGAGGAAGGCGAGTGCGCAGGTGAGGACAGGTCTGCAGGCCTTACCCCTGACCTGTCGCCTGACCTGCTGTCTCCACCCTCCCGCCCCTTCAGACCCATTCCTGACCTGCCCAGAGTCACGTGCTCCCAGCAGTTAGGTTTTATGCCTCTGGGAAGACCCCACAAATGATGATGTTTGAGGTAGAGGGGGTGTCTGAGGCCGATGCGCTAGGCTAGGGTGTGCTCCTGGCTTTGCTACCGTGGCTGGTGTCTGGTGCCACATATCCCCTCGCCATGCCTCAGTTCCCATTTGTATGTTGGGGTGGAGCTCCATGGATCACTTCTATCCCTTTAACTGGAAAATTCTAGCTTCCTAGAAAGAGGGAGAAGTTTCACTGAACCTCTTCCTGTGCCTATAGGGTTCTGGGTGGCAGGGACATGTGGTAGGCATGGTGTCCTTGTTCCTGATCTCCTGGTGAGGGATATGAGGCCACACAGGCAAACAAGAAGATGGCAGAGCAGTCTTGGCTGGGTGCTCTATTAGGTGGGGATTCAGAGGGGGCCCCTGTGGAGGTGAAGTCGGAGTGAGACCTACATAATGAGAAGCTCCTGGGAAGGGTGTTCTAGGCAGGGGAACAGCAAGTGTGAGGTCTTTTGAGAGGAGAGAGATCTTGGCACAAAGAACAGAAAGAGAATTTTGAGGGTTGTAGCAAGCATGCCGACAGCTTGGAAGGAGGGCACAGGGTCTGCAGACCCTGTTAGGAAAGGAGCTTGGAGTCTGTTTCACATGTGATATGAAGCATTTTGTTTTTAACTGAAAATGTCCAGAAGAACATCACCAGGGAGGGAAGACCTCCTGAAATGCTTGTTTGTTACAAGTCCCCAAGGATGATGAGAAGGAGCCCTGAGGTTGGGTGTGAGCTCAGGGAGGTGGATTAAGACTAGTACAGTCCTGTCTGGCTCTAAGCTGATTGCGGAGTTGGAGGTTGGATGAGCTAGGAGGAGAAATGAGCCCAGCCCCCTCTGCCTATCTGAGTGCACACACGTGACCACCCACAAGGGCAGACGCAAATCTAGGGCCAGCCCCTCTCGAAGAAGCCAGACGCCTGGGGAGGGGTGCCACCTTCCTGGACATGCCCCAGTATCCCCTGACCCTCTCAGCACAGGGTGCTGGGCTCCTTGGAGTGTGGAGAGGCTGCCTCTCAAGCACCAGGTGGTAATCAGAAGGGGCTGTGCACGTTCATGTCCAGCTGCCTGAAACCCAGTACAGGGCCCCCCAGAGACTGGGCTACTATGGGAAAGTAGTGGAAGCTTTGGAAACCAGAGAGGGGATGGATGGACAGAGGACATACAGACTCATGGGCCTTGGTCTGGCTGTCAGTGAAGCCTAGTGAGTTTCAGCCTGCCCTTACTTCTGTGTCACCTTTCTGCTCTGCCTGTTTCCTGGTCTGTAAAGAGCGGCCTGATTGCCCGCTGTGCAGGAAGTGCGGGAAAGCAGAGGGCGAGTGCCGGGTAAGCCAAGGAGCACTGTGTAGAGGTGGGGCCCTATTCACCTGCTCAGTGCCATAGTAGGTAGGGGCAGCAACTCCATCCAGGTCTGGCAGCTCCACCCTCAGAAGCCATGAGCCTTGCTGCTGCCAACGCCACTTCCAGAGAAGCCTGGGCACTTGCCCTTAGGGATCTGAGCTCAGGTCCCCATTTTTGCCTACCCAGGGAAGCTTGGGGCAGTGGTTAAAGGTGCAGGCCCAACCAGCACCCCCTAGCTATGGAACCATGTCTGTGCGTCGGCTCCCCCTGTGTAAAAAGGGGCTTGCTATAGCCCCTACTTTCTAGGGTTGTTGTGAGCATTAAGTAGATAAATACATCTGCGTGCTGGGGACAGTGCCTGGTACCATGGAAGAGCTCAGTAAATATGGCGATGCCATTATTTCATTGTTATTGGGTGTGGGCTGGCAGCGACAGTGCTCTGCCCGATTCCCGTGATGCAGAATACCTTAGTAACCAAGTTCATGGTTGGATATGCGGGCAAGGGCCCACCAGCCTGCCAGCCCCTGACTCCCTGCCTCTGTGCCAGATGTGGACGAGTGTGAGCTGGGCACGCACAACTGCCAGGCGGGCTTCACGTGCCAGAACACCAAGGGTTCCTTCTACTGCCAGGCGCGGCGCTGTATGGAGGGCTTTCTCCAGGACCCCGAGGGCAACTGTGTGGGTGAGTGGGGTGGAGAGTGCTCTGTCCCGGGTGTCTTACGAAAGGGCCGTGGGCCAGAGACTCTGAGGGTTTAGAGATCAAGGAGATCTGGCTTGCTGCTCTTACTCTCGCCCAGCCCCAGGTGTCACCTGCAGATCAGAAGCTCTTTTCCTGAGCTGTTGAACCTTGGCTGAGTTACTTCTCTTGTCCTCAGTTTACCCATCTGTGGGGTTGGACTGGATGAATGTGTACCCAGTTTCTTTCAACCCAGTTAATAGGAAGGATATATTTTATATCTTGACATGGTGCGCAGGCGCGCGCGCGCACACACACACACACACACACACACACACAACTGGAACACAAACCTCACAAAACATTACTTCATGTGGTACAGTAATGGGACCTGGAGGCTGATTGCATGTGTACTCATGGGTTGAGACCTGCAGTTTGACAGATACTGGCTTCGTTGTCCCCATGTGGATCTGATGAAGTCTCATGCTCTTCCCATCTCTCTTCCACGGCTTCCAAAGAGCCCGTGGTCTGCAGCCAGGAGGCTCCATCCACCCAAGGCTGCTGACCATGAGACCTGGAGGCGGAGCACCAGTATCCCAGAGGACCGGCACCATCAAGGCCACACTCACCTAGGGAGGGATGAAAGACAGAGGGAGGTGGAGAGGCAGGCCCTGTGTGGGCCAGCCACTGGTGCAGCCAGAAATGGATCTGTTAGAGTACAGCTCTGTCACATGCCCCCTCAACAGCTTGTGGGATGAGTGTCCCCATCTTACAGAGTGGACACTTTATCTGAAAGCTTCCTTAAGACTCTTCGGGGATCCCTCTAGCCAGTCTGGGATGTGGAGTACTTCCTGAGGCACCCCCTTAACAACTGTGTCTCAACATTGTCACAGGACACGGGCAACCCCTCAGGACACTACAAGCTATGGACATGAGAAGGTTGCTGTGGTCTGCCCTGGGACACCCAGCCAGGGTCCGGGCAAGGTGGGGCAGGGTCTACCCGACTGCAAGCATTCCTCAGTGATTCACTCTCTGACATTTCCTTCGCCACTGCTAGATGTCTGGGTGGAACAAGACATCTTAGAGGGGAGAGATTAAATAAGCAAACACATTTATACAAGTGGCAGCTATTCAAGGGTGCTTTTCTCAGTAATAAAACAAGTAGGGATACAATGGTCAGGCAGGGCATCCCTGAGGAGGTGACATCGGGGCAGGGCCTGAGGAAATAAGGGAGCCAACCATGAAAATAGTAGGGGGTAGTGTGTGCCAGAGGAGGGGTGACAGAATGTGCAAAGGCCCTGCGTGGTGCTGTGCCCAGGCCTGGTGGGATGAGAAGGAGGCCAGTGGGCTGGGTACAGTGTGCAATAGCAATAGGGGGTGAATTTGACAAGCTGGCAGGTTTGGAGAGGCCAGAGATGGGTATGACTTGCCACAGTTATCCTAGAAGTCAGCCTTGATTCCCCCCACTCCCTGGCTTTAGCTGCTCCATTAGAAAGCAACTGGCAGGTGCGGGGGTTCTGAAAATTGGAGCCTTTTGTGCCATGGAATAATCTGACCCCATAGTCCTAACCTGGGCTGATCTGGAGCCTAGGACCAGCCTCCTCCCAGTGTAGCCCTGGACCCAGATGCTGGGGCTGGGGAGGGGCTGTGCCAGGCTCTCTGTCACCCACACCCACCTCTGCAGACATCAACGAGTGTACATCACTGTCTGAGCCATGCCGCCCTGGCTTCAGCTGCATTAACACCGTGGGATCCTACACATGCCAGAGGAACCCACTGCTCTGCAGACGTGGCTACCACGCCAGCCAGGATGGGACCAAATGTGTGGGTAAGGCCAGACAGCTCTCTGCCCCCACACCCCCAGCCAGCCTTGGCCTTCCTGGGTTCCTGGCCTGTGGGAGTTCCCTGTAGGGGGCGAGCTTGGGCCTCAGGGTGTCTTTCTTACCTTCCCCTGGCAGATGTGAATGAGTGTGAGGAGGGCACACACCACTGCAAGGAGGGCCAGGTGTGCCACAACCTCCCTGGCTCCTACCGCTGCGACTGCAAAGCCGGCTTTCAGCAGGATGCCTTTGGTCGGGCCTGTGTAGGTAGGTGGAGGCTGGTTGCCAAGATCCCTATCCAGCTCCCCTGAGCAGTGCCCACCTGCTCCAGGCCAGCCTTCTGGCCGCCGTCTCCTTTCTGCAAGCTCCTACCTCACCCTGACCTCTCTGTGCTTGACTGCTCTCCTGCCTCTTGTCTAGCCATGGCTCTGCTCCCTCTGCTCTTCTCAGCCTCGTCCCCGTTGCCCTCTTCTCTTGCCCCTTGCTGTGTCTATCTGTCCCTCTGTCTGCCTCCAGTCTCCCTCCAACACTCTCACTGCCTTTCTCCCCTGTCCTCAGTCTTTTTGCTCCCCCCTCTCTGTCTGGCTCTCTCCCTCTCTCTTCTGGGTCCCTGGATCCCTCTTCCAGCCCCCTCTTATACTGGGGGTGGAGGGAGCCAACTTCCGGGAGTTGCCCACCCGCCTTCGTGGCCTGCCCACAGATGTGAATGAATGCTGGACCTCCCCTGGCCGCCTGTGCCAGCACACGTGCGAGAACACGCTTGGCTCCTACCGCTGTTCCTGCGCCTCCGGCTTCCAGCTGGCTGCTGATGGCAAGCACTGCAAAGGTACCGGACCCGGCACTCTTCCCCAGCCCTCCTCACTCTCCTCCTGGGAAGGAGGATCTGCTGAGACCCTTGGGGAAGCTGTGCACCTCTCCCTGACCACTGGGCCTGGCAAAGGAGCTGGCCCTGCCCTGGGTCAGGACCTGGCCAGGACAGAGGAGTGTGACCAGGCCCAGCTGCATCAGACAGCATTTGAATGTACTGCTAAACTTGACCTCATTCTCACTCATTCATTCATTTGTATTATAATCACATGTGAGCACCTCCTTGTGCCTGGCTGGCAGCACAGTGTTGTAGGGATGCGGCCTCTTCCTCCGAGGCATTGCTGTGGTCATTCATTCACTTTCTGGCCCTTAAGCCTTCACACACCCCATCCCTACCTAATGCCCTTTGTCTACTGCTCTACTGGCTGATGTCTGCCCAGGTTAGGCTCTACAGAGATGAAACCAGTGTGGCCTCTGGGCCTGGAAGCTCAGAGCCTGACAGAGATCATTCATTCATTCATTCTGTGTGTTGTGAGGTCCTGAGGATCTAGATGGGAATCAGTGACCTGGGAGGCCCTGCCCAATCTGATTTCCCTCCTCCCACTCCTTCTAATCACTCTGTTCTGACCACACCCACCTCCGCTCTGTTCCTTGAGGGCACCACGCATGCGCCAAGTGCCATGCGCCATCTCAGGGTCATTGCTCTTGTACCTTCTTCTGCCTGGTATGCTTCCCTCGATGCCCACGTGGCTTCGAAATTGCAACCCTCCCAGACACAGTGCCTGCCTCCTTCTCTGCTCTTTCTCCATTGCACTTGCTACCTTTTGACACACTGGTTATCCGACTCATTTAATTAGCTCCATCTCTCCTCCATTCCTCTGCAACACACATCAGTGGGACTTTAACCCTCTTGTTCACAGTGACATGCCCAGTGCCAGCAGTTCTTAGCTGGGTGAATGAAAGACCCATCTTGCCCACAGAGTCCAGTCCATGTTCCATCTAAGCCACTCATTGTTCCGCTCACATTGTCCTGCACGCCAGCACTTGTGCCTCCCCTCCCCCATGCAGTGGCTGATGTTAGAGGCCTGCGGGGTTCCTTGTTAGCACCTGGGTGGCACTTGGAGAGCCATGTGTGCCATGTGCTGAGGACCCTCAGTAGGGAAGCATCTAGTTCCTGACCAGGGATCTGAGTCCAACCTGTGGCTGCTTCTTCCAGGCAGCAGGCCAGGCCAGGACTCCATAGTAAGTCCAGCCCTGCCCCTGCCTCAGCTGCCTGCCCCAGGTGTGCCACTTGTCGTTATCTGGGCCTCTGATTCCTCATTTGCTCGAGGGGAGGCTGGAGCTAATGTTCTCACAAGAGACACCCCAGGTGAGCCTGGAGTCTGGTTTTCATCTCTGGGTTAGGGGATTCCACTGTGACCACCACTGGTCTCCCTGCAGATGTGAATGAGTGTGAGACCCAGCGCTGCAGCCAGGAGTGCGCCAACATCTATGGCTCCTACCAATGCTACTGTCGCCAAGGTTACCAGTTGGCCGAGGATGGGCACACCTGTACAGGTACCTCAGCTCTGTCCAGGGCCTCTTCCTGAGAGGCACCCCTTCCCTGAACACCTGGCTCCCAGAGAGTCTTTGCTTGGCCAGGGATACAGAGGACACTCAGAGGCTTTAGCATCAAATCAGAGTTGGAGTCCCATCGCTGTGACCTCTGGCTGTGTGACCTTGGGCAGATGCTTCCTGAGTCTAACCTTAGGCCCCTCCCCTGCAAAGTGGAGACCTGGTCCTGACCTGAGTGGGATGAAGGGTTCAGTTGAATGCATCCAGACCTGTGTTTGGTACCTGATTGTTCCTTAGCTGGTAGTATTTGTGGAGCAGCCCCAGGGAGCAAGCACTAGAATGGGAGTCCTGTTTTTGCTGTGTGGCCTTGGGCAAGTCTCTTCCTCTCTCTGAGCCCTATTGTCCTCTGTAAAATGGACCCCCGAGCTCACATGGCTGTGAGTGGCTGGGCCCTGCCATTGGGCAGTGTCACAGAGTGAACCTCTCTCTGGCAGACATCGACGAGTGTGCTCAGGGCGCCGGCATCCTTTGTGCCTTCCGCTGTATCAACGTGCCAGGGAGCTACCAGTGTGCATGCCCAGAGTGGGGCTATACCATGATGGCCAACGGCAGGTCCTGCAAGGGTAAGCAAGGGGTCCCTGCCCACCAGAGCCTCAGCCAGGACCCTAGCAGACTTGGAAAGCCTCAAACAGCATTCTGTGCACTTGGAAGTCTGACACCAAGGGCTTAAGTACAGAATGGCCAGTGTCTCTGGTGATCTGTGGCTGGGATGGGAAAGGTGACAATCTTTCTGCTTTTTGACCCAGCTTAGAATTTTCCAGACTTGGACTCAGCTCTGGGCCTTGCCCTAGGAGCAGGGCAGAGATCCTGTGGGTGGTTCTAAAAGACACAAGAGACCTGTCTAGTGAGAAGTCTGCAGAAGAACAGCCTTAGGGGTCCCAGTCTCTGTCCCCAAGTGTTCCAGATGCTATCCAGAGACCAGGCCAGCCAGGTCTTTGGGCCCAGAGGGTGAGGTGGGTCCCCCAAGTGTCGGCAAAGGGATCACAGAGAGGCTTATCTCAGAACCACATACTGAAAAGACTCCCCAGTCAGAGGTGTGCAGGGCTGGGAAGGGATACAGAGGAGAAAGTGGGCTCCCTGGCACTGGAGACATGCAGAGAGGATCTGGGCAGTCGCCTGTTAAATGTGCAATCGAGGGACTACTTCCCTGGAGGGGGAACCAGGTTCTGTGACATTTAATCTTCTAAGTTGGAGAGCTATAATCTTTAGTTCCATCGGAATATACTGAGGCCATAAAATTCTGGCAAGTGACCAGCACAAGGTGGAATGGTCTGGAATCCACCTGGGGCAGGTTATAGCAGCAGCACTAGCAACCCCCTGGGAAAACCAACCACTCAGCTCCTCAGAGCATGGCCACCTGTGCCTCCTGGCATGCATGACCAAGTCTTTCCAGGCAGTGGAGCTGAGAGCCTCGAGGCCCCTGGGTTGCAGTTTTGGTCTCCTTGTGCTTCTGGGGGCCAAGGGTCAGGGTTGAGGCTTGGAAGGGTACAGAGCTAGACCAGTTGTTGCTGCCTATAAGTGAATCCTGAGATCAAATTCATAGGTCTCAGCCAACCGTGTGTGTGTGTGTGTGTGTGTGTGTGTGTGTGTGTGTGTGTGTGTTTAATGTAGAATAGGATATAGGACCAGGTAGGGTGAAATAGACATGATGTAGGTCAGAGTGCACTGTGCCCATAAGGCTTGTTTCAGTTCACATGTGTGCCCTTAGTTCCAATGCAAAAGGATTCCTTACTGTAGGTTGATGTAAATTAATAATAATGAATTAAAAGGTTCTGAGAGAAAACAGGTAAATTAGGACTTGGAGGCCTGCTGGGCTCACTCACAGAAGCTGACCTGGGTCTCCCTAGCTGCAAACCACTCTGCTTTTTAATTTTTAAAAAATAATTGGTATAGACTTCATAAAAGGTAGGGATTTTACCCACCATAAACTGAGCTGTGTGGGAAATACTTTATGTTCCCAGAATATGACTTCATTCTTGAGATTGAGGCTCTATCCCTGCGGAAGAACAGTGTGGTCACTTCTAAGAAGGCTGTCAGAACCAAGTGACTTTTGCTCTTGATGGCACTTCAGGTTGAAAACCTGGTCACATTCAAGACTGTCTCTCCCTGGCCCCTCATCCCTGGCCCACGCTAGCCAGGGTCAGAGGAGTGCCCAGACGTCCAAGGTGCCTGTGCTATACCAGAGGGCTCCCTGGGCCCAGGCTCTGCTGGCCATAGGCGTGTCTGATCGCAGCGCTGGTCTTGCCCTTTTGTCCCCTCACAACCTAACCAGTGGCCCACTTCTTTGAGATGCAAAAGAGCTGGTGAGGTGCAGGTCTCCTCTGTAGTCCAAACTGCATCGTCAGCCACCATCAGGAGGTCCTCCACACATGCCACTTTTATTTTCTGTCCAAACTGTTTTGTTGGAAGAGTCTGTGTCACAGGTGGACAAGGCAGAGCTCGAATGCTGGTTCTGCCTGGTCATGTCTGCTTCCCGAGTCATGTCCATGTGGTGCCCCTGTCTGCAGCCACTGACCTCCGAGCTGAGCAGATGCTCCTTTGTGCTCCCTGGTCCTGTTCTGACTTGGACCAGGCACTGAGTCTTAGGGTTCCAGTGGGGCGAGGCCTGGGGCAGTGTGTGCTGGCCAGTGTCCCATGTCAGCACCTGTCCTTCTCCAGAATAAGAAACTGGAAAGAAAGAGGTTAGGGCATGAGACTCGGCCCGTCCCTGGAACATGTGCTGAGGGAAGGGCCTTGACCGTATTCGCTAGCATGTGGAGTGGTGCCTAGCACATGATAGGTGCTCCTTGAACGTTCCACCATGCGACTGAGCTGAGAGGCAACTATTGCCGATATTTGGATGTTTTTCCTTCCAGTCTCTCTTTCTGCCAATATATATATATATATATATATATATATACCCATACACATACATACACATACATACCCCCCCTCCCATGCATACATATACCTAGATAGGTATATAGATATGTACATATATATATATGTATATATACACACACACACCCCATGTATATGCGGGGCAGAGCAAAAGTAGGTTTACAGTTATTTGTGTGGAAAATAATACAATAATTAATAATAATGCCAGAGTAAACTCTGTTTTGTTTACTCACAACTGTAGACCTACTTTTTGCCCCACCCTGTATACACAGAATATAATATTAGCTAAAATCATGGGGAAAATAACCTGGAATCCTGCTTTCTTAGTGCATGTGAAGCTCTTACCAGCATTTCCCTCAATGTGGGCTAGCTTTTAGCAATGCTGTTAGTCTCCCCACTGACTCTGTCCCCCATTTCTGCATTTCTGCTGTGGCATCAGCACCCCGGATGGGGCTACAGTGGCGCCCCTGTGTGTCCGGCCCTGTTGGCTCTCCCTTTGGCTTCAGCTCTCCAGGAGAGGCTTCAGGGTCAAAGCCCCACAGATGCCAGGGGCCTGGAAGCACCAAGGGGCAAGGACCCTGGGGTCCTGGGGAAGTCCCTTCTGAACACATCTGTCAGTAGGGCCAGGGCAGACAGTAAGAAGCTGCTCCCACCCTGTTCCTGCTCCACCCCACCCGGCTTCAGGGTCAGCACCTCCTGCTCCCTCTGTGGTGGCCAGCAGCGTAGAATGAGGAAAGGAGGAGGCCATCCCTACGTGTACATTCAATTATTGAACCATCAGGGCAGCAGCCACACCCATCCTGGCCCCACCAGCTCTGGCCGCCTGCCACGTTTTCTCCCAGATTGGGATCATGACATAGTTGGCAGAGGAGGAAAGTGGGTCTTGGTGAGATGAATAGTGTGAGCTGGTCTGCATTGTGAAGCATGGTAGGCAGGGCCTAGAGCAGTGATGGCGAACCTTTTGAGCTCGGCGTGTCAGCATTTTGAAAAACCCTAACTTAACTCTGGTGCCATGTCACATATAGAAATTTTTTGATATTTGCAACCATAGTAAAACAAAGACTTATATTTTTGATATTTATTTTATATATTTAAATGCCATTTAACAAAGAAAAATCAACCAAAAAAATGAGTGTCATAGGTTCGCCATCACTGGCCTAGAGTGAAGCAGGCCGGAGTCCAGCCATGGCCCTGCCCTGCCGCAGCTGTATGACCCTGGGCACGTCTGTGCATGGGAGGTGATCCCACACCTGCCTCATGGGGTCTGAGGATAGAGGAGTGACTAAGGGTGGCATGCCTTGAGCATTGAATGGACATCAGGTGGTAAACTTGGGGTACCAGTTGGCTATTGCTGTCAGTGCTTTTATGCTGTGGCTGCTATTGTGAGGAGTCAGCTTAGCATCATGACTGGGGCCCACATTTTGGCATTCGGTGGACCTGGCTTCAGCCCCCACTGCCATGCTGGCTGTTTGTGACCTTGAGCTAGGTCATACCCTCTCGGATTTCCAATTCCTCCTCTGGGAGGCCAGTGACTCTTATCCCAATGGGCTGGTAGGAGGATTGGGTGAGGAGAAATCCCTAAACGGGGTCAGTGTGGAGGACTGGAGAACAAATCTGCAGTCCTCCAGGGAAGTGCCTGGCAGCACCCAATGCCCCCACCTGGCACAGCCTTGGGCCTGTTGAAGCTGTGCTCTTTGAGCTGAGCGGCTGATCTTTACAGGAAGGTCTCTGGAACCCATTTACTTGATCCATGGGTCGCCTGTGGAACACACACACACACACACACACACACACACTTACACCTCATGCTTGCTTCTCTGAGCATTCCTCAGAGAGATTTACCCATGTGTTCATGTGTGTGTGTGTTTCAGGTGTGTGTGTATCTGTGTGGGTGTGCTTAAGCACATGTGTGTGCCCAACCATGTGCACAGGAAGCATGAGCATGTCTGTGCAGTTTATGGGGCATTTGTGTCTGTGCATTCGGAGTCTATTTACAAGTGATGAGTCTTGAACTTCCATCCAACAATACATGGAGAGTACATGCTCTGTGCCTGGCCCTCTGCTGGGCTGGGGGCACCACAGGACTGAGGAAGACCCTCTCCCCCTGCCCTCCTGGAGCCCACACTGAGGACAGGGAGGGTGGAAACTGAACAGACATACAAAATAACTAGGTGTGTTTGAGAGCAGGACAAGCAGTACAAGGAGAATAAAATGGCTTGAAATGGAGGGTGGTGGGGGAGGAGGACCACTGCAGGATAGTCAGGGAGAACATCCTTAGGGTATGACCCTGAGCTGAGACCTGAACGATGAGAAGGAACCAACCACGGGAAGATGTGGGGAAAGTCTTGCACCAGTGGGAACAGCATGTGCAAAGGCCCTGAGGTGGGATAAGGGTCAGAGCATTGGGGAATCTCAGAGGGGTCTAGCAGAACTGTAGCCCGAGTGGAAGGAGAGGGGTTGTACCGTAGGGCTTGGTGTCAATAGGCGGGCCAGAGCGTTTATACTGGGAACATGGGAAGCCCTCAGCGATCATGACAAAAGACACTTTTCATTTTAAAGCCAGGTCCTCTGGCTGCTTGCTGGGCATGGAGGGGACTGGATGGGATGTGAGTGGCACAGGCTGGAACTGTGAGCTGTGGTCTTGCAGTCAGGAAGAGCTGCTCTGAGGCCCAGGCCTCCAGCTTGGGTGATTCAGACAAGGGTCCCCAGCTGTGGGGGAATTCCTCCCATAAACTCTCCTCTCCTCCCCTCAGACGTGGACGAGTGTGCACTGGGCACCCACAACTGTTCTGAGGCCGAGACCTGCCACAACATCGAGGGCGGCTTCCGCTGCCTGCTCTTCACGTGTCCTCCCAACTACATCCGAGTCTCTGAAACGTGAGTGTCTCCCCCTGCCATGGGCCTAGTCACCCTGCAGACACCACGCTGCCCAGGGGCGAGGCCAGTGGCCGTGGGCCCTGCCTTAACCACCTCCTGCTCTTCACCTGCCCCCACTGCTGAGTCTGTGGTCAAATTGACCACAAATGGCACAAATGAAAGCACCTTGCAGAAAGTTCAGAGTCTAGAGAATGAAGAGAAGGTGCATAGAAAATCTCCCTCCCTGTCTTTCTCACACACTCACATACACGCCACATTCGTCATCTATTGCTGTGTAACAGGTTATCCTAACACTTAGCACCTTAACCTGACAAACAGTTATTCTTTAAACAGTTTTGGAAAGGCCGGAATCCAGGAACAGCTTAGCTGGATGGTTCTGGCTCATGGTCTCATGGGCTGCAGAGTCCGCTGTCCAATCACATGGCTCTGGGCTGGAGGTCTCAGCTCCACACCATGTGGGCCTGTCCATGGACATGCCTTCCCTAGCACAGGTCAGGGAGAGAACGAGGGACATTTTGCAAAAGTGACACATGCTTATAAAAACATTCAAATAATAGACCCTGGCCAGTGTGGCTCCGTGTTTAGAGCATTGGCCCATGGACCAAAGGGTTTTGGGTTTGATTCCCAGTCAAAGGCATGTACTTGGGTTACAGGTTCAATCCCCAGCTCCAGTTGGGGTGCCTGTGGGAGGCAACCAATCCATGTGTCTCTCTCATGTTGGTTTCTCTTTCTCTTTTCCCCTCCCTCTCTACCTAAAAAAAAAAAAAAAAAATCAATGGAAAAAATATCCTCGGGTGAGGATTAACCAAAAAAAATTTTTCAAACGAAGTGTGCCAACCGAAGTTTTTGTCCCGCCCCTCTAACAAATCATACAGTCGCCGACTGGTTGGAGTGTGTCCATCTTCTCTTTGGTCTGAACATAAAGTGCACACAGCTGCCCTGTCCCTGGTGCATTCAGCCGTTCTCATCTTGCTTTCTCTGCCTTGCAGCACTTGTGTCTGCATGTAGCCTGCCCCAAATGGTGTTTCCTGCATGCATGTGTTCATAATTCATTTAACGCTGTCCTGCTGGCAGTTTCACATTTTCCACTATTATACACTAGAGGCCCAATGCACGAAATTCGTTCAAGAATAGGCCTTTCTTTCCCCGGCTGCCGGCACCGGCTTCCCTCTGGGACCTGGCTTCCCTCTGGGACCTGGGCTTCCCTCTGGCCGCTGGCAGGCACCCGGGACCCGGGCTTCCCTCGCAGCCCCACTTCGTCCGGAAGGTCGTCTGGAAGGACGTCTGGTCTAATTAGCATATTATGCTTTTATTATTATAGATGAGGAATGTCCATGTGCATGTGTGTTGGGACATTTAGGGAGTATGCCTAGGCGACTTTGGGCAAGTGACCTCCCTTCTCTGGGTCCTGGCTGCCGCATCTGCAGCATGGGAGTGATAGCAGCACTGTGGGTTGGTGTGAGCATCAGATGACTGAAGATGCCAGTTTCACACAGTGGATGGCATGGCGTAAATGCCGCGTCTGTGCTGCTGGCTGTTGCTCCTGTGCCAGCCTTGTGCTGTGGCCAATTGGAGAATTCTGCTCAGATCTCTAGAGTTGCTGAGCTCTGGTGCCTAAATAGCATCCCATTTTGGAAGTAGTGAGCTTTTATATTGATTTAACAATGGAGGTGCTGGTGGCTCAGAGGGCCAAGATGAGGTCAGATTGTTGCTATGCTTAAAAATTGAGGCCTTGGCCCCCTAGGGTTTGGCTTTCTCACCACCCTCATCCAGCAGTGCTGGTCTTGAGGCTTCTACCTGAAAAATGGCAGGGCATCCCAACTCAGAGGAGGAAGTGGCCCAGAAGCAGTCAATTAATAGAAGAAAAGGAATTTGAAAAATGATTGCAATAATAAAAACACTCTGGCCTGGGAATCTATTCCAGTGGACAGTGTGCCAGTAAAGAAAAGGCAGGGAGGAGGAAGCACAGGGTGCACCAGAGCTGCTCGAGAGCTACGCCAGGCACTGTGGTGGGTGCTGCATGTGTATAAACTCACTCCACCCTTCCAAGGAAATATCTTACAGATGAGGAAGCTGAGACCCGCATAGTAAGGAGACTTAGCAGATGATATAAGGCTACTTAGAGCAGAGCTGGGGCCAGCTGGCCCTTGAGCCTGCCTCCACCATGTCCAGGATGGTGGACAGCAGGGGTGGGAGAGCCTGGGATGGTTGTTCGTGAACCCTGGCTCTCTGACCAAGCCCCGTGCATCCTGCAGGAAATGTGAGCGCACCACGTGCCATGACTTTTTGGAGTGCCAGAGCTCGCCAGCTCACATCACGTACTATCAGCTCAACTTCCAGACTGGTCTCCTGGTGCCGGCTCACATCTTTCGCATCAGCCCGATGCCCGCCTTTGCTGGGGACACCATTGCCCTCACCATCACCCGAGGCAACGAGGAGGGCTACTTCGGCACACGCCGGCTCAATGCCTACACCGGTGTTGTCTACCTGCAGCGGTCAGTGCGTGAGCCCCGGGACTTCGCCCTGGACGTGGAGATGAAGCTCTGGCGGCAGGGCTCTGTCACCACCTTCCTGGCCAAGATGCACGTCTTCTTTACCACCTTTGCCCTGTGAGGTGCCTGCCTGAGCGCCTGTGCAGGGCCGTAGCACTTGGGGTGCCCCTGATGGTCCCTGTGGCACCCTCCACACCACCCTCCAGTGCACCTCTTTCTGTGGGTGCTCAGCACCACGTGAGTGGGGCCTGGTTATCAGGGTGGTTTTTGCTACAACTGGAAAATAGCCTAATTTTGCTGAATGGATTCCTCTCAGGTTCCTGGGAGGGATCTTGGCAGCAGGAGGTCGAAAGCAACTCAAGGCACTTCAGGTGCCTGTGGGTGGAGTGAGAGGACTAAAGGCTACATGACGATTAAAGGCGGGAAACAGACCACGTGGGGCTTTGGACTCAACTGGATGGCCTGTCCCCAGTGTTGATATTCTATTTCATGTTTCACTGTGATTACTTCTCCACTTTAAAAAACCATCTTAAGTGTTTTTGTTTAATTATAAAAGTAGTGCACATACACTGCAAAAAATTTCAAATAGTACAAAAAGGTTATAAAGTAAAAAGTGACAAAAGAAAAACCCTTACTTCTGTCAAGTGTTTGAACCTGATGGTGTGTCTGAGGGCCCTGGGTCCCAGCCTGGGTGTTAAGTCAGTCTGTTGATTAAGAACCTCCTTGATGTCTGATGAAAGGAATAACTCCAAACTAGGAGTCCCATTGAGATGACAAGTTTGTGGTGTAAACATGCTGGCATTCTGGTCCTGTCTTCTTTCACCAATGCTTCTCCTCCCTCCTTTCCCCTCTTCTCCTCCTCCTTCCCCAAGTGTGGCCCTCAGGTTGGATATTGCCCAGAAACTCCAGTACTGGTCCCTCTCGCTAAGGCCTGTACACATCAGCTCAGGCAGAGGCCTTGGGCAGGATCCTGAGAGATGAGAGAATTCTTTTTTCTTCTCCACTGTGCACCTGGGGCTTTGAGCTGCTGTAAGGAGGATGCCTCAGGTTGGGAGGCCCCCAAGTGCACACTTGCCACTGCTCTTGGCCCTTTCTCTAAAGCAGGGATTCCAGCTGTGAGCAGTGTGTGGCTCCGTGGGCCTATGTATAGTGGACAGCAGCTGGTGTTGAAGAAATGGAATGGGACACTGTCAGTACTCTTTCCCTGGTGAAGAAGGCGTGGTCAGGAAATGGCAATGCGTGTGTCTGCGTGTGTCACACCCCCAATGCCACCGCCTTGGGCTTGTGATGTAAAACTATTTCTTACTGTGTGTGGCCTATTGGGATTGTGGCAAACTGGGAGCTCATGCCCTATGTGGAGGGTGGCACTTTGCAGATCCAGAAACTGCCGCCTTCTGGAGATCTGGACCCAGAAGGCCAAATGTTCCTATTCTTCAGGGCAAGTTCCCTAAGTACATTTTGATGTAAAATCTCCCAATTTTAAGATGTGATTAATTAAAACTTTGTAACCGCAGGTGTGAGCCTGCCATGGAAGGCCCACTGCCTTGTGCCCTTGGACTCTCCCTGCTCTTCACTGGCTCTTGCCGAGGCATTGCACAGAAGCCAGGGTCGCGTTCTCACTGGCTGACTGCCTCCATTCCTTCTGCTTCTAGAAACCAGAGCTGGCAAATCTGTCAGACACATTCACTCACCAGGAAGGAACAGACTTCCGCTCAAAAGGCAGATTGGGGACACTAGCAAGGGATGGGCAGCAACTGGCTACCTGGCAGAGGCCCCCACAGGCCTGCAACAGACTCCCACACTGTCCCGGGCCTTCTCCCAGCTCATAAGTGCTCCCCATGGGCCCTGGGTAACTGACATCACTTCCCAGGGTTTTGTCTACCTCAGCAGGTAGTCCCTACTTTTCTCTCCAGGATGTTGTGCCCATGGAATCAGCACACACAGTCTAGCTTGGCACCAGCTCATCTGAGGCTCTCCTGATGTGAGAGTTTCCAAGGTTCGGTGATTCCAGGATTCCAGGCTGCAAGGAGCTGGGCAAGCTACAGTTGGGAGAACAAGTCTCTACAAGGGTGTCCTCACTTCAGATGCCAGACAGAAGCTGGAGGGTTCCCACACCACCCTCACTTTCAAATATCAGGCTTTCGCCTCAGGATGTGTCACTATACTACAGGATGGGTGACAGTGCACCTAGTGTTGCCAGCCCAGGGGCCTATGGTGCCAGCATTTTCATTGGAGCTTGGTCACATACTGTCAGCATGGCTGGCCTTCAGTATCCAGTCCCTCCTGGAGGTGAGACTAATATGGCATGTCCCAAAGCCCCTATCATAAGCCACAGTATTAGACTATCCAGGGCCCAACACCCCCAGATAAACACACTCCAGTCAGGACTTTCCAAGGGCCTAGACCTCACCTCCCAGGAGCCAAGGGCCAAGGCCAGACTTCAGGGAAGAGAGGGCCAGCCCCTCCAGCCTCTGATGGAGGTTTTCTTATAGGACGATGGTATTTAGGCATCTACACCTAGTATTACTTGTTACCTCTCTTGATCTGCTAAATGTGCCTTATGATAAATATGTGCAGAACCATTTAGCATAGAAATGAGTGAATGTTTCCTCAGGCCAGACATCTCCCATCCTGAGGAGGCCATAACTCAGTGCTCCAGCATGTGGCCAGTGGTATAAGCATAACCTCACCAGCCATGCCAGTGCTGTTCCACACTGCAGCAGGTAAGTGACCTGGAAAGTGAGACTGGGCCCAATCAGTTACCAGCCATTCAGCCAGTCCATCAAAAGGTCTCCCACGTGAGGCCACTCAGGTTTGCCGCTTCCATTAAATCTTGTCAGGTTTCAAAAGCAGGAGTGGACTTGGCTTTGCCTTTCAGGCATCTGGTATGATCGAGATGAGGCTGTGTCCTCTTTCTCCAAATCTCTTGAGATAATACAATACTGGCCCAATGTTCTGCTGGGTTTCCCTCATTTATAACCCATTTGCCCCTTTTCCCTCGGCTCTCTCCACCCGCACTCCAGTTCTTCCACCCTTGGACGGTGCCTTCGGTTTGGCCCCTGTGCTGGTCTCGATTACAGGCAGCAATAGCAAATGCCTCCCTCCTCCACTCCTGTCCTGGTAGGGTGTGGTCATACAGACCTTCTGGGCCAGCTCCACCAGCAGGCACACTGCCACATTCACTGTCCGTCCTGCCAGGTAGGTGTAAAAGCAGTATCCACCCTGTCAGGCCCTTAGGATTTGTGACATCAATGATTAGAAGTTTAGTCACCGTTTCTTGCTTAGGAATTCTCCCTCCTTCTGGCACCCATAGTTGCAGCCTTGCTCTTGGGACAACAGCATCAGATAGGAACAAATCAAGTTGAGATGATGTTCCAGGGGAAAAGTATAGTCATGCCAGTATCCTTCCTCTGTGGAAGAATTGTGTCATCATAACAGGCCCCTCAGATCACCTAGAAAAGCAGAGGAGTCTATTCAGGGGGACCTGCCCTTGGCCCCCTCATGGTGAGTGTGAGCACACTGCTGACAGCATGTAAGCCAGCCCTTCATGCCTGCATCTCCATCACCTTGTTTTAGAAAACTGGTTTTAGTCCTCTATCTAGCCATTACTCCAAGGAAGATCTCTCTGCTCGTTGTTGGACACTGAGCTGTCACGAGTGTTCCTTGGGCTGATGAAATGGGAATGGGTGGTCCAAACTGGCACCTCTGTTGTTCCAGTAACTTACTGTGTATCAAGCATTTCCTTCTACCACTGGCTGCCATGTGAGGCCTAGCCCAGAGACCTCTTCCTGCCAAGATCCCTCTGCAGGGTCCGGGGGCTTACAGAATCAGTCCATTCTCTAGCAGTGCTCTGGACTTTCCCCAGGGGATCCTCCCCACAGCTATTTATAATTTCTGTCTCTCTAGTTGACAGGACAATTCTTGTTGACTTTTTGTGCCTCAGAGGGACAAGAGGAGTGTGTCTATATCTAACTAGTTCCTGCATTGCTGAAGCCCCATAGGTTCCCTTGTTTTGTGAACTCAGATGGCTACCTCAGTGTACACTAGTACGCCTGCTTGCCAATTCCAATCTATTTCCGGTCCTGGGAGGGAGTTCTTCTGATGGGCATCAGCATGTCCTACTTTAATATACCCTTAAATTCCCATAATGATTTCCATAGAACCTGGTCCACATGGGCACCCTTTTAATAGACCCATTTTCATTGCTCTTCTGATCATGCCATTGGCACTACCCATGAGTCAATGAAAAAAAAACTGGGCAAATGGCATGCAGCCAGCCTATTCTGCTGACTTGTTTTACTTCTTCCCTCAGAGGGGCAGCCTCCCAACAGGATGTTGTCCATACACCTTGAAACTGCCATCCATAAACCAAGCAGCTCTCTTTTGGTTAATCAACAGCTTTCAGCCCAGATGGTGTGGCTCAATGGTTGAGTGTTGATCTATGAACCAGGAGGTCACAGCTCCATTCCCAGTCAGGGCAAGTGCCCGGATTTTGGGCTCAATCCCCAGTAGGGGGCATGCAGGCAGTGATTCCAGACCCAGGTGATTCCAGACTCAGTCAAAGGGGGCACATCTCTTTGCTTGTGATTATCCCGAGTACCTCCCAGCACTGCCCTAGTAGTATCTTACTGCACAAACCATGTCCATTTTATCACGGAGCTCTTCTTGACACTCACTGGCCCTCCTCGAAACCACCCACAACATGATGGGGATTTCAGGTTTCAAGACTAGTTTATGGTTTTTAGTCATAAGAGCAGTCTCAGTCAAGGCCATGTCCAGTTGTCTCAATGGAAAATTTTTGAACCCAAGTTTCAGCAGCTGTATTGCTGGGTGGCATGTGCAGGCTGTACCATAAGCCTGAGTCTGCGGGAGGACTCCAAGGCTTTGTTGGATCAGTTTTATGTATAGGAGCTAGCAGTGTTCCCAGATGTGGGATATGTGTCCTCCAAAACCCAAGTAAACTGACCAGTTGCTGGTCTTCTAACATGTTTTGTCCACCAGTTCCCATCACTATTGCCTGGAGGTAGACATCAATGGCTTGTTTTATAGCTGGCTAGGTAAGCATCCCCAGTCAGACACAATGTCTATCTCAGGATGCACTCTGGTCAAGGAGACAGCCACGGCGTCTGCTCACACATCCCACTGCTCATCTAAATGTTCACCTTAATACCATCAGCCATTGCATTTCTGTATTCTCCCAACACAACTGTAGCTCCATTAGGACTTTACCAAAAAGCTTTTGGAATCACAGTGCATTGGGATCTCATAAGACAAGTGCTTGGGTGACACATGGGCCCAAGAGCATGGATGCCAACTTACCAAAGCAGATCTGGCTGCTGCTGCCTCAGCAATGGAGGAACACTGAGCCAAGTACATCACTGGCCACTGGCAGCAAGGGAACTACTGTGTTGGCCCCCTTCCATCTTGGGATATAAGCACTCTCTGAGGGCTTACAGAGTGTCTGACCCTCTGGCATCCTGTACAATCTGGGTCCGATCCACAGTGAAGCAGCTGAAAGACTAGCCCATGACCATGGGACCTACTGTTCATGCACAAACTACATGACCCAGAGGCAGCCAGCCTCATAGAGCGTGTGAACAGCTTTCTAAAGGTGAGTGAAACACAGGC